TGTTACGACATGCCGTTGAGGTTCCTATCAGGCACGCGGCGATGATTGGCGCTCTTAACAGCAGGTCCAGTTCTGGTCTGTGTCGTCGCCTGCGCTGCCGCACTAGTGCTAGAAGTCCTCTTATGACGAATCCTATGCTCCTGAGGAGAAGCCATACGATCCTGCTTATTATACGGCACGGTTTCCCAACAACGATTGGCACATAGCAGACCAGGTACACCGTAGCAACCACGCCGTACAGGATAACTGCGCTTGCAATTATGGCTGTCCTCGGAGAGCATTCCGGATTGAAGATATTAGCTGTACAAAACCAACACTGGACATTGTCGCAGAAGGAAACTGGTGGGCAGGTGGTGTCAAGGGTGGTCATCCGCTTGCCATCCGAGAATTTCCACAGTACATGATGATCGTGGAGCGTCACCTCCGGTGAGAAAAGAATGGTCTCCTTTATATCCGGATTCTCCTTGACTTGACAGTGTTCCTTCGTACACAATTCGTAGCGACGTATGTTCTGTGATTCGAGTTGTACTCCACCCGGTATGCATCTCATTTGTCCTCGTGCTAGAGTCGTGTTCTCCAACGACACTTCCGCGGATACACTCTGGACTATGGTCATTATGGCCAGAACTAACAGACTTATTGCCGAAGTTCTAGCAAAGCTGACTGTACTCGCACTCGCACTGCAAGAGTGTACGTCACTCCTCTTTGTCCGCGGTCTGAGATTGTACCGTGATGGTTCGCTAAGCTTGCTGTGCGGTATGTCTTTCTCTTCTGCCGAGTGTTCCCTCGCCATTTGATCACCGACTTCCTCTGCTTGCTGTTGAAGCTCCAGTGGTACCAGCAAATTCACAGGACGACGAGCCGTGCGTCCGCTTGGTAGACGTAGTTCGATTTCCCTTGTTACATTGTTGCTTGAACGGTGAACTTGAACAATGCGCCCCATCTGCCAGCTGCTGCGAGGCATCACCGCGTCTGTGATCATGACAACGTCCCCTACTGCCGGAGGCTTGCTCGTACCGCGTTTTTTGTCGATCTCCAGCTTATGATTTTCTCGCAAACTAGTCAAGTATTGCTGACTCCAGATGGCCCAGAATCGTTCAACCAGCTGATGACTCGATTTGAGGGCTTCCTCTGCCTGTAAACGAGTTTTCAGTCGGGCCGCTTCATTGGCGGGGAGGTACTCGGCGTCTTCTTCGGTGCTCGCGATGGACTCGAATGGGTAAGTAATAACAATGTCACGTTGGATGAAGTCGATCGGCCGCAACATTGGGGTCTCTTGCCACTTTTCCTCCTGGTAGGTGAGTGGTCTGGAGTTGAGAGTTCCTTCGATCTCTACGAAGAGTGTCCTGAGGTCTTCCACTTGTGGGACGGCTCATTGTAAAACCTTGTAGAGGCTGTGCTTGACAGATTTTATCAACCGCTCATACATAGCTCCCTGCCACGGAGCATATGGCCTGATATTTTTCCATTCTATCCCTTTCGTAGCCATGGTTTGGGCAAGTGAGACGTCGTTCGCGGATGGAAATACGGCATCGCGTAGGATCTCGTTTCCGAGAAGGAAATTCGGCCCATTATCCGATGTAATACTGGTCGGTATACCTCTCCTCACGAAAAATCTGCGCAACGCCCTCAGAAGATTCGTCGTAGTCAGGTCAGGAACCAACTCCAGATGCATCAGCCGAGTCGTGGCACATGTGAGAATGATGCCGTATACTTGTACTCTTTCTTCTTCGTGTTTGTGGTCCGAAGTAGTCGATCCCTACGTGTTCGAACGGTCGTGTCCTCTGAACTCGTCGGCTAGGTAGATCGTCCATCTCCGGATACTTGTATGGAATGTTGTTCATCTTTTGACACGGAACACATCGTTGAACGACGCTCCTCGCCATTTGACGGAGTTTCGGAATCCAGAATTGCTGCCTTACATTAGCCATTGTGTGTGCTGTGCCACAGTGGAGTGGTGAGTGAGCATGTTCTGTAATTATGCGCGCGAAATCCATTTTCGACTGAATCAGAAGCGGATACCGACTGGCGATGGGAAGTTCAGCTTTCCCTAGGCGTCCTCGTCATCTGATGAGTCCGTTTTCGTCCTCGATAGGCTTCAACTGCTTGAGCGCTTTCCGAGCTTCGGGGAAATGTAATCTCTGATTGCTCGCGAACGAGAACTCGAAGGCCCATGTCATTCTCGTAGCCATAATGCTATGAAGCATTAGCTGGCCCGCAACTCAGGAATCCGTACTCTCGAGTCGCCTATCGAGCCCTCATCGCACTCGACTGCTATCTCTGATGAGCGCAAGACATACTGTCACTCTCGTGTCGCAGTGTCCTTTTCCGTACTTCCAGTCAGGAAATCAGATCCCTCAGTTTGCTCCTGTGCTAACACGAGTGCGTCTCCGCTTTCTTTACTCTCAAGGTGGGAGCCCTCGAACATATCGACATTATTCGACCATTGTTCCTCTGTCTACGAAAACGAGGCCAGCACACAAGATGTGGTTCTCGAAGTTGGTGCTGCTTTAGACCTCTCGTGGCGCAATCCGCTGGGTTGTCGACCGTATTCACGTATCCGAAGCGAATGCGCCCCCCGATCTCAGTCACGATAGTTCGGATTTCGTTCACTCGATTCTTCACCAATACTCTAAGTGACTTCTCTGTTGGGATCATGGATCCAATTGAGTGCGATCTCCGAATCCGAGAAGATGATCACGTCCTGAATTCTCGTCCTCCCACCAATGGCGCCTAGTATCGACCGCGTTAGGCGTACTGCCATGGTAAGCGCATTGAGCTCGAGTTTCGGTATAGTGGCTTTGTCCTTCAAAGATGGCAGTTTAGACTTTCCTACAAGCAATTTCGCGTTGTTGTCTGAAATCAGATAGGCACAGGCTGCCATTCCTGAAACACTGGCGTCCGAGAACACTATGAGTCGAGCGTCATCGTTGATCTGGGAGACTTGTCTTGAAAGTTCACAGTGAAAACCGTTGGCCTTTCGTAAAATCTCTTCCCACTGAATTTGATGTTCATTTGACAAAGGTGTGTCCCAATCGTAGCCGAACGTCCACAACTGCTGCAGAAATCGCTTTCCCGGTAACGTAATCGGAGTAAGCCATCCGTGTGGATCATAAATAGCCGCTACCTGCTCGGATACTGTCCGCTTTGTGATTTTTCCTTTCGTGGGTATGAGCAGGAGAGGCAGAATCGATCCCTGACGGAATCCCATTTTATTCCGAGGATCTTTTGTACTTGATTTTCGCTGAGATCTTTGTCAGCGATCTGTCTTTTCAAGTCCGCCATTGGACACGAACTCCCTGAGATTCATGTTCATCTCTTGAGAAATCGCCTTCGAATCCTTGTACATTTGTACTGCATCCGTTAGAGGCTGATGTAACCACTACGTTATCCACGTATGTGTTCTCGTCGATTTCTCGTGCGATCTCCACATTCCTGGTGCAGTGCTTCAGATGATATTTGATCGTTCCTGCGAGAAGAAATGGAGAGCAAATTAGACCGAATGTCACTCTGTTGAAACGGTAGGTGACGATGTTGTCCTGTGTCACTGGCTGATTCAGATCCCGCAGCCACAAGAAACGTGTCGCGTCCCTGTCTTTCCTGTTGAGTCGGATCTGAAGGAATGCCTTCTCCACATCACTGGTAATGGCGACGTTCCCGATTCTGAATCGAAGGAGGATATCGACCAATTTCGGAAGCAGAACTGGCCCTCAGTTGAGTACTTCGTTTAAGGATGGAGAATCCTTCATGTGCGCTGAACCGTCGAACACGACTCTGAGCTTCGTTGTGCTCTTATGTGGAGTTATTACTGCTTGATGAGCCAGGTAATGAACAATTTCTCCATCAGGTTGCTTGGCTTCATCGACCTCCTCAATTATGCCCTGGCATAACTGTGTTTCGATGGTCCCTTGGTACTGTTGGAGAATTTCTGGGTCGTGTTTCATTTTTGTTATCGTGGCTAGCAGACGGCGTACGGCTAGTCCTTTATTGTCTGGCAGTTGCGTAGCCTC